TAAGATTTTAAATATAAGCTCTTTATATCATAAGTGACATGTACACAAAAACGAGCTTCAAATTCATCTTGAAGCTCAAATTCTAGCTTAAAACCAAAATCCTCTATTTTTCTAATTTCTTCAAAATCCTAATTTTAGTTTGCTAGTTTTAACTAGCCATATTTCACTTATTCTGGATTCAATTCTATCAATCCTTGAATGTAAAATATTCAAATTGAAGTCTAGTTTCTAATCCAATTTCCTTATTTCTTACTAGTATCTTGAAACTCTTAATATGCATGGAAAAATGATAGTAGATATCAAATTAGTATCCTAAGTTTAAATAAGTATAACTCTCTCATCTAAGTTCCAATTCATGCATTTTTTCTACCTAAATTCATGCAAAGAAGCTCTTCTATTTGAATATTCTTTCTTAATTTGAAAAAAAATCTCTATTCCTTGCTTCCAAGCTCTCCAAAGAAGTCATAGCTAAGGTCTTTGTTTAGATTTGATGTTTGTTTAATTTTAAACTATTAGTTTTTGTTCTCTATTCATCCATATGGATGCCCTAATTATTCTTTTTACTACTAAAACTCTTCTCTAATACTTTTTCTTATAAGATTTATATGATATATGACCTAAACACCAAATAAAAGAAACAAAATAAGATTTCAAGAGTCACCAACATTTGATAAAGATGGCTCTTAATACATAAAAACTATTACCAATATAAAATCAACCTCAATAATAGTCCTTTTAAACAGCCACTTTAATATAATGATCTAACCATATTCTGTGGCTAACTAAAATCTAATAATGTGTCTCTTATCACAGTTTATAATAAATAATACATTAAATATTTATAAGCATTATTTTCACATAATAAATAAATTATAATACAAAAATGTATCTTGTAAAGTCAACACGTTTTGGAAGTCCTATAGGATTATGCCATATAGATTTTAGTTAAGAACATATATGGAAGCAAAAATAAAGCCTTGTTTTTGACAATAGCCATTCTTATTTAATACTATATAATTATTGAGTGACTATCTAGTTCTTTTGAGTGACACAAGAGAGTATTGAAGATTTATTTCTTTGAGCTTTGTATCTTTGATAAGTTCCTAGGAAACATGATCTATAAAAGAGACATCATGGAAATTGAGACTTGTAATTATCTTAGTACTCTATGAGATACATGTTTAACAAGTAGGCTTCTTAAGCTAAATTTGTTTCTTAATTCCATTTTTATAAGCTCTTGCCAATTTCTATTATATATATATATATATATATATATATATATATATTGTGATTTAAACATATGATTTCAATATGTAGATAAATATATATAATATGTAGGCAAAGTTATTCCAATATATTATATAAATGATATTTAATAATCTTATTATTGTTCAATATTTTGATACCTTAAAATATGCTACTATCAAAAGAAGAGGCTATAAACTGTAGCTATGTGAATTTGCACCAGATGATTATGTTTACATGCAACAAACTATACTAATGACATTAGATGTGACAACAAATTGAGTCATTTTAAGAATTAAGAAAGTATTTTTAAGTGGTGTGTTGGAATTAGAATATTACAATGGACACTTTTCAAAGTTATATTATATGAATTATATTTCTTTTTATTTTTTAAATATAGATGGTATTGTGGATTCTTATATGAATGTGAGTTTAGCCAACTTGAAGTGAGAAATATGCAAGAAAGTTCAAGGAGTTGCTACAGTGATTTTATGTGATGTTTGTTTAATTGGTTAACATATGAGTTGTTTGACACTACCTCTAGATCAATTTCTTATTAGTGGATGAGTTTGTCTATGATACAAGAAAAAATCTAAAGAAATTTAATAAGTTGATGGAAGATTCTTTAATTGATATTAAATAACTCTATAATTTAATTGATGGTAATTAAGATATACCATCCTAAAAGAAGCTACATTAATGGTGCAAAAAACAAATAAACGAGGCCTAAATGGCCTTGGCTTTGTTGGAAATTTATGTGTACTTGGAACAACTTTTATTTTTTTGTTTGTTTCAATGGTATTTGTATGTGATTATTCCATCTACTATTTTTATTGTGAGAGATATTGATCTATAACTCAAACCAAGCATAAATTAGTACTATGTGGTGTATTTATCAATATGGTTACTTGTATATTGGAGATACATCTTCTTTATTGTAAGTATGTTGGTGTAGGAATAGTTTATATAGATTCTAAATTGCACAATGTGATATATACACAATACAACAATGCACAACAATTGTAATTATGAAAGAAATAATGGCTGATTTTATTTTTTTATTAAATATTTATATGTATATATGTATATATATATATATATATATATATATATATATGAAGTATGTCTAATATTCTTTCTAACCATTAATATTACTTATTGTTGAAAAAACTAACAAAAATATGAATTTTAACAAAGAATAAGTATTTTTTTGGTATCAAAGACAAAATAAAAATTTATAATAAGATTTGAAGATATTAGTATATACTAAAATTAGTAAATATAAAGAATAATAGTTAATTAATATTATTTTTGATTTAATCAAATATTAAAATTATTTATTTTTAATTATTATAAACTGGCTACAATATATATTAAATGCTTGTATACTTATGATTTTAAAAAAAGTTCATAATTTTTTATTATTGGAACAAAAATTTATAAAAAACTTTTAATTAAATAATTTCGATTGGACACCATTGTTAATTTATGATCAATTTACCTTAGCTATAATACTTCATTGATTAAAAGTAGCTTTTATGCAAAATAAAAATATTAAAGAGTATTACTTAGAAGAGTTGCTGTACTTATGTATTATCCAATTGATTTTGATACCACTAAAATATTTTTTTAAATTATGTTAAAATTAATTTTTTTTGTAATTTAAATCTTTTGATTTTCTATACTTACTACAAAATTTAAACTTTCAAAGATTTTAGTATATATGTATCAAATTTAGAAATATGAAAAATATTATCAATATCATGTAATATTTTATTTAAAATAATACAGAATTTTTACCTGAAAATAATTTAACAAAGTTTTTATTTTAAAATTATATAGATATATATATATATATATATATATATATATATATATATATAAGATTTTAGAATATTGTGTTATTAATTTATTTTTGATTCTTTTAAATTTCTAATATTGAATAGATTTGAACACCTTGTTCCATATAAAGTTACAATATTTAATTATACAGAAATACATACAAGAAAGATTAAAAAAATAAAAATAGTATAAGTAAATATTACCTTTTTCAAAAAAAATTAATTAATTTTCTTTAAAGTATCATATAGATGTAGAAATATAATTTATAGTTTATTTATTTTTTATTTGTTATCTAGGATGTCACTTCAAAAATGCTATACAATTTTAATAATTGACTTGTAATCTAATTCTTCAAAAACTATTTCATAACCTTTATGTAAGGCAAATTTTTTTACCTTTGTATGTTTAGACAACAAAAATATATCTATTTATTTATAGATTGTTGCGCATTTGTTGTAAAAAATGTGTTGTCATTGTGTGTCCATTATTTTGCTACATTCATAAAAACTTTCAACCTAACATAGTAATATTATAACAATAATTCAAATTGAACATAAAATATATATGTAAAAATATTATTTTTTAAATAACTAAAAGAATCAGTCTTATTTTTAATAATCAATATATAATATCTATAATTATAGAATGTAGTAAACACTTGCTTTATGTTAAATAGGCCTTGACATTGCATGAAAATGAATATATGATGTATTTTTGTTAATTTTTCAATATCAAATATTTGAACTTGCGATAAAATCAATTGTATTTCAAGAGATGGAAATTATTTCTCTTAATTAATGTTTTTGAGGGAAAAAAATCAAATATTATATATATATATATATATATATATATATATATTAATCTATCCACATTCAAATAAGTTTTTAGAAATATTTATATATATATGTATATATATACTAGTAGAAACCTATGTCATTAGACACTACAACTTTTGGTACATCCATTTATTTTCTCTTTATTTTCTCATTCATCTATGCTCCCTTGTTCCTACATTCTTTTATTCCCATATTTCCTAATCACCATGTTTTCTCATTCCCATGTTCATATGTTCTCTAATTGCTATGTTTATTAATTACCATCTTGGTTCTCATATTCCTTTAATTCTTTGCATTCTTTTCTTCACAACAAACAAAAGACTTCTTTGTCTCTTTGTATTATACTCAAGATGTCTTATATAGTAGATATATACACACAAATATATGAAATTAAATTTATTTTGCAAAACTTTTTTTACAAACTTTTAAATAATATCTTAAAAATATTATTAAAATAAAATAAAACCATAAAGAAATAAATGAGTTAATGACATAACATGCATAATTGCTTATAAAAAGGTTGCATAACTTAACATGTTCTGATCTATATAAGAAAAAAATGGCAAAAAAATAGAATATTCACAAAGGTGAATAAATATAATAAGACATAAAAATTATATGGACAAAATATTTATAATAGAATATATTCAGAAAAGTGTCTAAAATAGTAATTACTGATAGTAAGTGAACTACAAACCAAGGCATGATAACAGAATAGTAACATAAAAGCAGAAGCACTAACGACAGTAGTTCTAATCACCATGTTTCCTATGTTAGTTATAAAATTCACCTAAAAAACTTGTCTGCAAAAAACTGACACGCAAGGCCTGGATATAAACACCCAACAGTAACTCGAATTTGAGTAGTGAAACATGAAATTTAAGAGTAAATGCTAAGCATCACTTTGAGAGAATTCTCACGCTGCACTACCCATCCTCTTCTCTTGTAGTATCTCGTTCATGTAAAAGTAGACACAATAACAGGTTTAGAAATTTGGTGAAGACAAATTGATACTTCTGAGCCAACAACTCAATGTATCGCAAAAGAATTATCTTCTGAATGAATAAAACAAACAAGTAACGTGAAACCATGTTCGTTGCCAGGTAATATTGGGTCCATTGCAAATATTACGCACCAACTGGATGTTCAACAAGCTCAATAGTTCACGAGGAGATTTCTCAAGTGTTGATGCGTGTTGAGGGATTGGTCACTGCCCTAGCCGTAGGAAAACTGCTCAATGAAAGTGATCAGTTCGAACTCCATTATGTGAACTAGTCAGCAAAGCATTTCACCGTCTTTACAACGGGGTCCTATTTGCGAAAGCCATATCTTGGAGGACTACTATTTGTTTAGTAGCCCTCCAAGATATGTTGTCCATGTAAATATTTGTTCTATGTTCCCCAAAGCCGTTCTATGCTTTCACAATCTCTGTAAAGGATTAATTCAGTATGATTCGATCAACCAGACACCACCATCCAGGTACTCACGCGTGATAAAGATCACACGGGCTCACTGGGGATTTGTTGATAGCCTCTTGGAGGGCTACTAAACATGGGGGCTTTTGGCAAAGGAATTAACTTCACAATTACAGCAACGAACAAGCTAACAAATCCAATACCCACAGTTATCATCCATTGTTCCTTGTTTAACGGGGTTGTGCCTGAAAACTTCCCCAGGAACTGCACAAGGACAATTTGGAAGGCAACTGTGAAAGTGAGGACGAGAATGAACACCCAGTTGTTGAATGTGTGGCGGAAGATATTCAGCTTTCCCATCTCTCGCGAGTTGATCTCGTTGAATACCTGGAATAAGAAATTGCAAATATATAAAAATCAAAAACCCGCACATAGGAACAACAGCAGTTTTGAAATGATTGAATCAAGAAGTTGCAATAAACAGGTGCTCGCGATCTACATCTACAAAATACAACGGAGTCGATCAACAGGAACACAGTACCTGACAGAAAACAAACGCATTAAAAATCATTGTGTTCAATATGATTGTGGAGTCTTCTCCCTCGAGGTGGAAAAACCCTTTTCCTCTATACTGCAGCACCGAGAGAACGGCCAACTGATAAATAGCCTGTCCAAAGATGTTACGCCACATCACATTGCTTATAAAGCTCCCGTTCCGACCAACTGGAGGTTTCATCATAAGCTCGTCGTTAGGAGGCTCAGTAGCCAAAGCAAGTGCCCCTAGGGTGTCCATAATCAGGTTTACCCACAAGAGCTGAACTGCGGTAAGAGGCGCAGTACCTGGGACAAAACGTCGTACAAGTATGTAAGATCACAATGAAAAATCACTGGGATCTCTTAAACTAGGTGGTTCATTGGTATACATGGTCTGTCTCCTTTAATTCAAAAAAACCGAGAAGCGCAATACTGAAAATTTACCTGTAATGCAAGCGGAACTGAAATTAATGACCAGAGCAACCAGGTTAACAGTAAGCTGGAACTGTACAAACTTTTGAATGTTTGTATACACAGAACGACCCCACTTGGCCACAACGACAATGGTAGAGAAATTATCGTCCAGTATAACCACATCTGCACTTTCCTTAGCAACCTGAGAATCACAATAAGTTCAATGTAGATCAGCACGGGTCACAACCCAGATTTAACTTCCCTAGACAGTTGGGAAGATATCTACACCACAGAATAAGCAAAATGAAAACTAACTACCTGCCATTGACGACTTATTATACAGACATGAACAGCGGGTTGATCAAGACTATCCATGGCCCCACAACTGTTTCACTTCAGACCGTAAAAAAATACGTACCTCTGTACCCGCAATGCCCATCGCCATTCCGATGTCAGATTCATGCAAAGCAGGAGCATCATTGGTGCCATCACCTGTCACGGCCACCACTTCTCCCAATGCACGAAGCTCACGCACCAACGTGTGTTTATCTGAAGGTGAAGACCTTGCCATAACCTAACATATATCGAAAATTCAAATATGTGATTATCAGCTCACTAACAATCGAGAAGGAACTGGTTACTCAAGCAACGGATTCCATACAAGACATCACCTGCAAAGAAGGAATAAGCTTTCTTATTTCTTCAGGATTCATATCTCGAAACGCTGGGCCCTCGATCGCCTCTCCATCGGTAAGAATCCCACATTCACGAGCAATAGCCTTGGCAGTGTTGATACTATCGCCAGTCACCATTCGCACCTTCATATGAATGAAAAAAGATAACATTTTCATCCAAATGCCTTTCGGTCAGTGCTTTAGTTCTTAAGATCGTTTCAACAGTGTTCTCAGTACACCAGGTAGAAGGGCAACCGTCAAACTCACTCATTATTAAATAAATAAATAAAACTAATAATACTAAAAATGAAACTCTGGTCACAATTACCTTAATTCCTGCAGCAAAGCACAATTTCACAGCTTCCCGCACCCCGGGACGCACAGGGTCCTTAATTCCCATAATTGCCATCAAGATCAAACCCTTGTTTGGAATAGGGTCATCCCGACCAGGGCAAGTGTCAACCTCCCTGAAGGCCAAACAAAGCGTCCGCAGGGCCTCATCAGAAAATGTGTGAATGATACCTTTGATTTCTTTCACTTTCGCCTCATTGAGCGGGACAATATTTCCATCAGCATCAATGGTCTTGTCACAGTGCTTCAGTACAATTTCAGACGCACCCTTCCAGTGTGCTCGCAATTTCCCATCCTTAGTGTCCACGACAACTCCCATCGTCTTGCGAACGGAATTGAACGGCTCCATTTTCACCATCTCACCATTAATGCAGCATTCTTTGAACTTCCCGCCCACAGCCAAACCGAATCCCAAAATAGCAGTTTCAGTGGGTGTGCCGAGGAAACTGGGGGTCGAACCATCGTTTTTCTCTTGAATATCACCACATGTATTTCGAAATATTCCTTCCAGGAGGATTTCAAAAATGTTAGGAGAAAGGTCGGATCGGATATTCCCCACTTCACGAAGTCTACCTGCGACCCACGCCTTAGTAACAGTCATCTTGTTTGTAGTAAGAGTCCCCGTCTTGTCACTGCAGATCGTGGTAGCCGATCCCATGGTTTCACAGGCTGACAGATGCCGCACAAGAGCCTTGTCATTCATCATTTTCTTCATTGCAAATGCAAGTGTAAGCGTAACAGCCAATGGAAGTCCCTCGGGAACAGCAACAACAATAATAGTTACCGCGATGGCGAAGAAGTTCACAATAGTAACAGCATCCGTGCCAGACCATTCTGAAAGTGATTCTTTGCTGAACAAGTACCTCCCCAAGAGGACTAAGAAGGTTACTACTGCGAACATCAAACCGATTTTGCCGATAAGTGTGGCCACTCCGTTGAGTTTGACCTGCATACAAATTCGAGCGTGAGTCAGACCACAATGCCCGTACGTACAGAATTATTACTTTCATTCTGAGTATCACTTCTTTGCCCATTCTAGTATAATGAGTGGATGAAAGGATAGGGAATAAGTAAGTCATTAGGGGAATCCCGGAGTACAGAAGCTCTGACCTGCAGAGGGGTTTCATCGTCACCACCTTCGCTAAGCGTGGCCATGAGATGACCCCATTCAGTGTTCATGCCAACCCCGGTAACAAGCATCAGCCCACTGCCGTCCTGGACTTTTGTTCCCGAAAGAAGGTAAGGACTGTCCTCGTTGACCTTCAGAGGTTCACTCTCTCCTGTCATACTAGACTCGTCAATGGACAGGGAACATCCTGAGATATACAAACCATCTGCTGGAACTTGATCGCCGGTACTCAAATTCACAATGTCGCCTACTAAAAGCTCGAAGATGAGTACTTTCTGGCGGCGCGCGTTTCGCACCACTTCGACGAACACTTTCTTCTTCTCGGATTCGAGATCTCTGAATTGAAGCGACTGCTGATAATCGCTAGTGGCTGTCACAAAAACCACCAGCAAGATACTAAATCCAATTCCAGCGCCGTCGTACCACCCTTCCTCCCATCCCTCAGTTATAACTCCGATGATGAGCGACACGACTACACACACAGCCAGAATCATGAGCGTCAAGTCCTGCATGGCCTCCCATACAAAGGTCCAGAAACCTTTGGGTGGCTTTTCTGGAAAAGTGTTCGTTCCAAAGACTTCACGTCGCCAATTAAAGTCATTTTCGTCCATCCTGAGTCCCTCTTTTAGGGACGTTTTAAGATTCTTTGCCAATCCCGTGGTGCCGCCCAAATCATGGAGCACACTAGCATCTTTTTTTTCAACCAGCCTTGCAAGCACTTGCGCATCCACCTGAATGGTCTTCTTCGCTTCGGTGCGCTCAGAATTGTCACCTGATTTCAGATTCTTGATCACTGCAAATAAATTGCCAACCATCCATGGATTCTCAACCAATAAAATTACAACGCAATAGAAACAGGAACCAACACGACATTGTATCTCTCAGAAAGAAGCACGGATGAAAGCCTTCAGTGACAGGTCCATCCTACACCACTACAGCGAGAGTAAGACCGCATATGCTAGATTGGCAACTCTCATGCTGAATGACTGCATGAAAAGTGAATGTAATAAGAAGTAGCACGGGAATGCGAGAGACAGAAGACTCACTGCCATTGATTCTGGTAGCAACTTTGGCGGCGGCACCAACGGCGCGAAATTTACGCCGTTTTTCCTTCAGAATCATATGAAAACACCTTAGGATTAACAACAATTTCAGAATAATGATGCTTAGAGATCATCAGACTACAACTTCATTCTCAAGGAAACTAAGCCACACACAGGCATAAATCATTATCCCCGACACACTGCTCTTAGTTTTAAGCTCCAGATTGTATAGTTCTGAGATTCTAAGTCAGTCCAGGCATAATGCTGGCAATCAAAATGCCTGAAGCATTATCCACATCATTAACAATAGTAATTGGTAATCGATATGCTCCCTCGATGACATTATAATAGTGTAATAGCTTCTAAGATAATTCTCAATGTCTCAGCAGAATTGAAGAAAACTGAGAAAACAGGTTCGCGAATTCAACTGACTCAGAACACACATAAAACAGCAATTAAGACCTTCTTCCCAAAATGGGACCACAATGAGATTGCGGATCTACGATGCGTCTAAAACTTGTTTTGTCCAGGTGACTAATAAGAAACTCTGCAACCTCGCATGAAATTTAAGATGAGTTCAATAAGTTTCAAAGAACAAGACAGTTGCCTAACAATGTCGCAACAACTCAAACATGACAAAAGTGAAACAGCATATATAATTCAGTACCTCCAAGGCTTCTTGCAGCTCTCTCCGTTTCTCTAAATCAGCAGTGTACCGAAATCGGCGGGTGGCGTTAAGAGCAAGACTGTACTTGCGCCATGTTGCCAGCGATTCAGGGTCGCCGCCCTTCCCAGCAACGTGAAACTTACTCATGGAAGTAAGTTTCTCCAGCTTCGGGTGGAGGATCCGAGGCGAAAATAATGTGGAATCATCTTCCTCCGACATTGCAAAAGAAAATACCCGCAAACAGTCCCGAACGACAACGTAACCCGCTTGTCTCTAGCCTTCTATATAAGCATTACGCTCTAGCATGTGACCATCTGCAAAGCGCAAGACCGTATTGGTCAATGGTGGGAGTCTCCGACGGCGATTGCACACAAAATTGACGTAGCTAGACTTGAATAGAGAGAAGGGCAAAAGTATAAATGCTAGGACACCTACATCCCGCCTAACACACACTCTGCCGAAATACTCTCTAATCCACCAGAAAAAATTGCTAGATTGACATACAGTTCCGTAATTCAACGCCAAGCAAGGCGAGCGAGCAAACTAGATGCGCGACGTTAGGTAAAGAGAAAAATGCGAGGCCTAGGAAAACGATGAGTCACAGAACTCAGATAAGAACAACATCAGGGCACCCAACTGAACCTCGACACCTGGGAATACTTCCGCAGGCGAAAACAATTGAAGGAAATAGAACCCAACGAAGAGAGCAGGAGAGAAAGCGCAAGAAGTGGGGGGAGGAGGAGGAGGAGGAGGCAAGCAGGATGATCGAAGGCACCTGGAAGCCGCCGTAGAGGCGCAGGGAAGGAGGGGATGCGGAAAAGGGAAGAGAGTACAAGGAAGAAGAAGACGAAGCAGCAGCAGAGGGGCAACGTCGCATTGGGAGACGTAGACACAGAAGAGAGAAAGGGAGAGGGAGCGGGGGAGACGCAGGTCAAGCAGTGGACAGTGGAACTGCGCACACAACTAGTGACTGAGTGATTGACCTGTTGGTGCCCGCTCTGCCGCCCCACCTGTCCCACCCCCCCCCCCCCCCTCACCGCCCTACCCTGCCCTGCTCTGCCCTTCCCTACCCTTGGTCGCCGTCGTCGCGTGTCTGGCTTCCTTCCTTCGCTGTTCCTTCCTTCCTGCCTCCCTCCCTCCCCTTCGGATGCCTAGATCCAAACGGGGGTTGGTGGATCACATAAGGCCAGATCTAGAGCCAGGCCACGTCTCAGGATGCCGTGCCCTCCTGCTCTTCTTGGTCCCGTTGCGAGCGGGGGGTCCCTGCACCACAAACGAGGCCATGGTGCTGGTCTCTTTCAAATTGATTGCTCCCTTTCCTTTCCTCCCTACCCAAAGAAATGGAGCGATCAATTTGAATGAATCCATTTGAATCCCATCTCTCTAGCTCAGTCCCTGTTCCCCTCATCAATGACCCCCCCCCCTCTTCCATTCTTCCGTTTTCACTTTCTTTTCAATGCACGATTGCTCCACTCATATAATACTCTTCCCCGTTTGAATTCCCATTCTTTGCTTTTCTAACAACTATTTTCTTACCACCCTCCCTACCCATTCCCCCATGTACAATGCTAGCTTTGATTAGAGGGTTCTTGTCGTGACTGCTTGCAGCACATTGTCTCCAGACATTGTCAGATTTTCCTTTCGAATTTCAAATTACTGAGCTTCCAAATATGGTTTATCCAATTTTTGCATTTGTGGTAATTATTTTGAAAGTGGAGAAGATGGTAAAGCACAATTTTTATTTCTACAAAGAATTGTGCTTTACCATTTTCACACACATCCACTTGAAACAAAGTATCACATTTTCCTTCATATCATCCAGTTTGATAATGACATGGGAAATTTTAAAAAGAAAATACCACTAACCACCTCACCAAGCCACAAAGTAGTCACTTATTAATAGTTTTCTGTTTTATGCTGTACATGTTACATTTTAATGCAAAAAGCTTCCTTTTTTTGGAAAAATAGCTAGCAATTGGTAAGGATGAAGGGTAGTTTATGAAGCTAGGACTTCAAGGGGCTTTTGGTGGGATAGTGTACTTCAGAAGTTGCATGACCTCTTCATCTCTCTCACACATAAGAACATTCATACTGAGTTTAGGGTGGAAATTTTGGAAAAATCCAGAGACACAAGGATGGAGCTACAACATGGGAGCACAACAACTTGGTGGGCCAACATGGCAGGTATATCTCCATTAGTACACAAGGGACTGCCACGCTTTGGTTTCACTCAATTGAACAAGGGGAAGGTGCCATTGACTAGAGTGGAAATGATATAGGATAGGACGAAGAGGATGGATGGATGGATGGCTGGATGTGTGAGATGGAGAGAGCGGGCACCTATCGGTTCGTATCAAGGAGGAGAGGGGGGGGGTTGTTGGGGGAGCTATGCTGGAGGAGGGAGGAGAGGCGTATTTAGCACAGCAAGGATGGCGGCCCCTCGACCCACTTCCCTGCCCTGCACTGCACATCCCACTCATGCAGCAGACCCATCCTTCCTTAGCCGTCGAACGGCATCTATGTTTAGTGAGGCTAAAAGAAGCTTTGGCACCAACACAGCAATCGATGAAAAGAAATGGCCAAACCGACAGCTGCCAACCAGCAGCAGCAGCGCCATGTTGAAGTGAGAGCCCAGGGTGGTCACGCCTGCTTCCTCTCTCACCAGCCAGCCCTGCACCTCGCATGCTGAGACTGAGACTGACTTGTCAGCTATAATCCCTGCGGCTCTCTCTTCTCTTTCCTTCCCCTTCCCAGCTTCCCATTTTGCACTGATTCTCCTTCAAGACTGGCGGAGGCAATGTGTAAACGAGATTTTTACCTTGCTTCCCTTGGCCGGCCTGGGATGAATTGTGATGGCCTCGAACTCCGCAAAATGACGCCACAGTTGACTGTATCAAACAACATCGACCGGTTGACTTAGTCGAAATGCTGTCATGTGCAGATGATCATTCGAACGTATGCGACTCCAAGTGCTGAGATTCTTCTCCTCTTCTAGGCACTTAGAGATGAAAAGAAGACATTTTCAAGTTTCAGAATTTAAAGTGCCTACAAGTCTAACTCATGCACAGGCTCTTGTGACCAAAATTTCAAGCTCGGGTTATTGTGGCCATCGTGACTGCAAACAAGGGACATTTCATTGCAGCTTCGAATCTTAATGCCCAATAACAGGAACCTCACTACTTCATGCTTCTACTATGCCCTTCTATAAACCCCGTTGACATGACCGTTTGAAAATTCGGAAGATGAGACTTAATTATGCATCATTCTGTGTGACCTGTTACATCAAGTCTCATCCTCTCATCCTCTCATTCACTTTCATTTCCTGCTGTTTCCAGTCTGACGACCATAGCAGGTTGATGGAATGTAGGTGAAGTTTCTTAGTTTCAGAGTGAGATAATTAACCATGGCTAGCAAGTGAATGTTTGTACATTTAAAGCACGATCAAAAACCACATCCGCAAAGCAGTAGGAATAAAACATACTCACAGCTCACTTGTGGGCAAGAAATTCGAAATGATGATCATGCAAAGTTCCTGTTCAACCACCCTGCAATGTGTATGCTTCGTTTACGCATCACCTCTCTGTTATCTACCTTCATAGATTGTCCAGGCCACTAGACTGCCTTGCGAAAGGACAATTGTGACGCTGATGAAGACAAACAAATTCATTTGGTTCTACAGTTAAAAATACTACCTCTGGTAACAAATTCACTGGTAATTTGACAAAATGAGAAAATACCACTCACCTAGTCTCCTGGATCCTTCGGACTTGATAGGAGCTGCGGCAACTGCAGGTGTAGGAGCTGTTGGGGGAGCTGGAGGTGGAGCAAGCTCTTCCATCAAGGGGTGAGACAGTCTTTGTTTCAACTGATCATTTCTGTAGTGTTCCAAATAAAAAACATTGCTGGCGATGTGCAATCTCCGGCGATAAAAATATAGCTGTAATGGATGTTCAATTAAGAATAGCTACAAATTAACAAGAGGGATGCACTTGAAGTATTATGCACTGAACTTGATCAACTAGTTCGATTGTATTTCCTCCAAATTGTACTTGCTTCTTCACCAATGTTTCTGGAATGCTGAGCTTAAGAGCACGTCTAGGTTCTAAAAGTGGACTCTGAGTGAATCGAGTTCATTCTGCTGATTTGAATATGAGAAATATAAGACCGAGCACTTTAGAATCTCGTAGTTTCTGAATTGAAGAAAGAAATGAAATTGTAGACTCACTTTGTTCGCAGGATGAGCCATTGCTTCACGAAAATTTGCACCTTGAAGCATATCTAGGAGAAAGAATACGTGTGGATATCTGTAATGGAAAAAGAAAAAGAAAAAGAAAGCACACATACAATTTCCTTGATGTTTCTTTGTCAATTTCAACCAAACAAAACAAACAAACAAACAAATAAATAAATAAATAAATATAATGTCAGTAACGAAAATCTCCATCGAACCTAAGAAAAGCAGTCCGAAGGCTATATGTACAGTTGTACAAAGGGTGAATTTATTCATATGAAACACCCAAAGAATCCATAAAATGTACGATCAAGCTAAGAGTTCGGAGCCTGATTTTTATGATTTACATGATATCCTTCGCATAATCAGTCTGTTTCCAGATCAAGAGGAATTTGACATGGCTCACAAATGCCTCATCATTGAAATATCGATTCTGTTCTAAGTCTGAATTTTATGGGCCCAATTGAGAAAGAGAAGAGTGACTTTAATGAATATGTGAAGTATGAGAGGCCACTGGAAAAGACTGTAAAAATTGACAGTGGATGAAGGTAGGGTTGACTGGCATCTGCACTAATTTGAGTTCAAGAAGGAATTATTGTCAGAGTCCAGAAATTTGTTGTGCCAGGGTGGAGGAGGGGTTGGGGGACATTACACACTGGTGCAAAGATTTCACTGGGTCAATGAGTTATCCAAATGCATTCATGTAGTCTGGGTTGCATGGTGCTCAAGTGGTAGGCAGCTAAGCCAAGCCATTCATTGACACCCTAACAATGAACCACTTCCCCCTCATACAATACTGGATAAAAACAGGCAGCATGGAAGAAGGTTCTGAAGACCATACCAATTAATGGGTGGACCACATACCCCTTAGAAGTATCACTCTTGGCATTCCTTTTTACTGTATTACCTAAGAGCTCTCAAAGTGAAAGCTGCACATTTCTAACACATCAATACAAAATGAGACAACTAAATAGAATAGAGGAGCTCCCTAAAGCATAAATCATGTACTTCTTATGATGATATTCATCTTGTCTAAACTCATCTTGTATTGTTATGTAGTCATGCTTCACCTTTTGGAATCATTATACCTCTAAAATTCAAATTACTTAAAAATCAACCTTGATTTCTATTCAACATTGAGGAACATCTAAATTAATATATCACTCTTTTTACATTGTTTTTGAAAAGTCCTCTTCAGCTTTCTTGACTTTCCATCATTTTTTTTAGTCTCACATTCTTTCTAATAATGACCTTTCATGCTACAATATTTACATTTGTCAGCTTTTATGTAATTATGTGATTATCCTATGTAATTATGAATATGAGATTATAGCTTGGATTTGTTACTTCTTCTTAATGTTGCCTTTGAGGTAGCTCATTCATTCTTATTACAAGATTTCTGTTGTGGTAGTTGAGCCATGATCATTTGTAATATCAAATTAGTTGAAATGTGAGTTCTTAGTAGCACTATAAGTTTATTAAATGATTTTATAAGACTCCTTAATAACACCACGACAAAGTTTG